CATGGCTGGTTATGGCTGTAAGGATAAGTCTACGCAAATAAATTCTGAATAAAATAGATTTTTTGGGAAACGCGATAACTGGCTCTCCAGTCTAGTAGCCGGGCATTTTCTGAACTTGTCCTCGAGTCCGGTAAAAGGAAAACATCATGGAGATCCAGAGTTGAGCGGCGAAAAATACAAAATACCATTCTTAAGTAAACGATGGATAATAGGTGACGGTGAGGCATATATAAGTATTGAAGAATTTCATTTTTAAACAGCTGAGAAGAGGAAATTGTCGATGAATGTACTTCAAAATCGCATAAGAGCGCCTAAGCTTCACAAGTTGGGCATTAATCATAGTCCCAAAAGCTAACTGGGCATCCAGAAAAAGTCCTAGATATTTAAACCTTTTCTTCTGCGCTATCTGTGCACCTTGATACAAGATGCATACATAGCTTTGGACATTGACCACCCTTGTGATAGATAACCACTTCCGTTTTACAATATTGACTGGTTGGTGTCGGTCCTCACAATAGACACTCAGGGCTACCATGTCTTCGTTAATGCGCTTTTCCATTTCCCTAACCTGTTTACGCCGATACAAATAGATACATGCAGAGTACAAAAGCCCGAAATCATCAACATACAGGTCACCATCGTCTGGTCTCCGAAACGTCTGTACTAAATCAAAGTGATCGACAATATACACACGTGGACCGAGTAAATCCTTTCCTGTTTGCTCTTCTTCCATCGCAGGAAGCTTGAGGGTGAGGGTGAGCTTTCTATAAGTTAGGAAAAAACTATCCACATTTACTTTCCTTTTATTCAACATCTTTCACCTAATTATCATTTAATGCACGCACAAGTTGTTTAACAGTGTAATTTGGTGTCAATGTCGTGTGTTCTATCTCTTCAGTTTTCATTGGAGAACGATTGTTTGATTCGAGCCTGATTGTTTGATTTGATTTGCTTTTGTTTTGATGATGATAACGACTCGTTTTCCTCTAATTCTGCTAGAAATTCTGTTCTATTTTTCTTCTTACCAGTGCTATGAGGATCATAGTTTTCATCAGCGAATAAAAAGGATTTTTGTTGAATTATATTTGTATAAATTTCTGCATTATTCAAACATTCAACTGATGGCTCGTATATTTGATATAATAAGTCTGGATTCTGTTCTTTAATCACGTCAGCAAAATTAAAACTTCCCCATTCATATGCAATTTGATAGATACTTTTGCCATCTGCTAACAAATTTAGATCAAATTCGCATTTCGATAAACTTTGAAAATCAAGAAACGTTTTCACCATTCCGATACAAACAAGATGATGAACTAAATAATAGCGTCTATAAGGTGGTTTTTCGTTAATGAAACTCGGATTATCACAAATAATTTTTTGCATTCTTCCCAGTGACATTCTTTCGCTTCGTTTAGTAAATTATCTAACTGGACCAAATGTTTGATTCTCTCCAACATATTGGGATGCTTATTTGCATACTTTTCTGCAATATCTAAGACAGTTTTGTTGTCATGAGTTAGTGATAATAACCGAAATGTGGCATTGTTTCTTTGTAATGCAACTAGTTCGTTTAACTCGCTAACCACACCTGAGAGAACCACTTGATGCAATATACACCAGTTATGCCAATTATTACGAGTAAGCCATTCCGGATGGATACTTATCGCCATTAAGATTCGATCATAATTAATAAACTGTTTGGCAAAATCGTATGCGGTCTCGAAATCGTCAAGTAATGGTTTAGAGTTTATTTTTCTAACGAAACTAATCTATAATGATTTATATTCTTATATCTCAGTTTAACTGAGATATAAAGATACATGTCATGTATTTGGCATGTAAAAGCATGAGTATCAAGCTAAACTCAGCAAATGTGCTCAGCTAATAAGTAACAACGTATTAAACCAAATACCGTGATTCTTTGGGAAAGTCATAATTTTTCTTTAAAAATCAATAACAAATTTTTTGTCCTATTGTTCTGAACAGTATTATTCATCGATTTTCTAACTTTGTTAGTGGTTTTTACTTAGTGCGACTACTAAAAATCAATACAGTAGGGTTTTAGCGACTAAACTGACGATAAAGAAACATGCAGAAAAAGCATGTGTCGACTTTCCGAGTTCTCGGAAAAACAACTGTGGCTCGATAGCTCAGTGGTAAAGCAATGGTCTTGTTAACCGATGTTCTCGTTGAGATTCCCAGTCGAAACACGCTTTTTCCGAATGTTTGTTTCTGGAAAGGCGACTGTAAATTTCACTGTAATTTTTTACTACAGAA